AGTCCAGCCTAACAAATGTTCGCTGCTAAGGAATATTGACACCGTATTCAAAATGGCTCCATTTGCCTTCTAGCAGAGATGAAGTCTGTTTGGCCACTTACCGATTGCAGTGCGCTCCCAATTTGTTGGGAAATTTTCCACTTCTCGAATAAGAGCGCGCTTCAAAGATTCAGCAACACTTAGTCACCGAATACATCTGTTACCGTTTTTCGCGAACTAGATAATCAAGGTTTTCGATTTTGGTATACGGTTTTATTTTAATGCTTCTGTAAGTATTGCATGCGTTACGTAGGCAAGTCATGTGTCATGATGCGTAATTTGCTCTTCTTACTGATACTAATTTTCGGGTACATAATTTCCTGCGTCCGCAACGGATATCGACGAATTCGGTTCCCTGCGGCTTTAATGGTTTTCGTTTCATTTTCTGTGACCCCTACATCGGAAATATTTAGTTTTTTCTTAGCTGTGTTTTAGCATACAAATTACGACGACGCGACTTTGCAGCGAACCCCATTCCATGACTGCAAACAATTTGCATTTAAAACTTTAATCATGTAAACTTTGCTTGAATTTCCATTTTCAGATAGCCGTTAATTACATTGGGCATGTTAACTGATTACATTAAGTTGTGTACCAAAACATTTGCTGGTACTAAGTACTAAGCTTATTCAAAGAGCTTATGTTTAGCTTAAATTATTTTATAATCGCTATCGCACTTTTTTTAGAAAGTCGGAAAATTCTCTCCAAAATTTACTTAAGAGCTCAATTAATCGTTTTCGCATTCAATGTAGACATTTATGTAAATAGATCCTATTAAACCTTGAACAAATTATAATTTTCTAATATTTTGTTACCTTAGCTTAACAAAAAAAAATTACCATGAACTATCTGTAAAATATTTCGAGTTGGCATAAATAAAACTAGATATACATTTATAGCCGATTACAGCGAACCGAAAACTGATACTGAAAATGTCACAATGCCGAAACCGGAAGTTCTTCAAATCAAACTTGACGAGGGCTGACGCAAAGTCGTTGGAACTAAATAACTTCTTGATTTATTGCTAAATATTGTATTTGTTCATATCAAAAAATTTCGTCTTCTGATTGCCCCTTTCTCTTTTCGTTCTTCGATTTTAAAATAAAGGCAAACGGTGTGAAAATTTTGTGTTCATTTCTTAAAACCCTTTTTATGCGAAAAGCCACATTCTCCGCCCTTTGAAGCTTTGTCAGGAGAGATGGATGTCTAAAATCAGATGTTGCTTAAAACGACAAAAGTTTGCAGGAAATCGAGAGCTAGACCTGCATTTTACAGGGTTAAGGCCAACATTTCTTGGAAGAAAGATGTAAATCATTAAAATCGGCTCTTTTCATTTTCAAAATCACAAACATTTCCCTTTAAAATTGTATAATTTATAAATCAATATTAAGTGCCGTTTTCTCAAGTAACTCCCTTTGAAGAGCAGATAATTTTAAAACCTACTTGATAAAACTGCCTTTAATCTTTCCATGTTTTCACTTTTTCGTCATCTTTTCCAATTTTTTTTTTTCTCCACCGAACCAGGATTTCAACATTCACTTATTTTTTTTTTNATTNACAATCAAATTCATTCAGAAGGAAACAGTGTTTGGAATTGCATCATCATTTTGCTTTATTATTCACCGTTACAATGCACTGCAATTCTGAACTAAATTCATTGTTGCTACGAACATGCTGCCACATCCTTCACTTTTGTTTATTGGGTATTCATAAACGATAGAAGTGCTGGAGTTGGCACTATTGAACTATGTGAGCTTAAGGCGTTTTCGAGTCATTCATAACATGAATTCAAATTGCATTTGACAATTATGCTTTCAATGGCGCAAATTAACTGCCGAAATCACAGCTTCCCAGCCGGCGTGAATGGCAATCGCCTGCCTTGCTTAAGCACAAGAAGCCACACCTACAAACGTTCTGTTTAAGTACGATACAAACATATACATATACATATGTATGTAGTATGTAAGTGTGATTGTTATGTTAACTACCATTACGCCTGTTAATACATATATGTACATACAAAGCCTTGCCATACTTACTACGCCCTCACTAAGATCTGCAAGGCACAGCGACAACGGATAGGCAAAAACATATTAATCAATGATGATGGATTGGGTGTCCTTTCGATTCGGTAAGATTGGCGGCAATGTTAACAGCAGCAGCGGCAGCAGCAGCAGCAGTGGCAGGGGCCGATGGTTGCGCTGGTCAATATATTGGCCAAAGACTTACCAATATTTGTCTTTGCACAAATTGTTGTTATTGCTGTTGTGGCTGCTACTGAAAGTGATGCATGCAAGTTCAATATTTGTAGCGGTCTCGAGAGCTTTTGGCGATTTAGTTGTTGTGCTCTCTAGATGCTCTTACTTGGCTGCTGCTGTACACACAAAGTTGTGGAAGGGACAATCAAAATTTATTGCACTCAAACATTCATTCACAGACGTTCATATGCACAAATTAATATACATACATATGAATGTATGTATGTACACGTTTGCAGTATGTGCTTCAGCCATAAGGCACACACACACACACCCATGAATATTTATGAATTTTTAGGTCTGCTTCTAAAGGCGAATACGAATAGATGAATGAATGGCAGTTGAATGCGTTAAGTGTTTAGTTGCCTGACTGCTACTGACGTTTGGAGATAAGATATATGCCGCACTGATAGCGATTGCAATTCAGGGCCAATTCTTCAAGTGGAAAGCATGAAATGGATTTTTCTTTATACCTCGATGGATGCGTTGTCGTTGCACATTTTTGTACCCGAGCACACTTCTGCACAAGTGTATTATAACTTTGTTCAGATAACGGTTGTTTGTAACAGGCAAAACGAATCGAGATAGACATATATCTATATAGACAAATGTATACATAAATGATCAAAATTAAAAAAAAAAGAAATCGATTAAGCGGTGACTGCACGCCCGTCCGTCCGTACGGCCGTCTTTGCATACGATAACTCGAGTAAAAATTGAGATATCTTAACTAAACTTGGTATGTGTACTTATTTTCAGTGTAGGACGGACATATAACGGTAATTTAGAGAAATACGAAGTCTTTGATAATTAAGTAAATACTTAAGCTAATTTATTCAAAATTGATGTTTGCAGTAATTTTTTAGCAGAACATACGTCTGTGATAAAATTTTGGAAAATGGACGTGTGACCGCCCCATTATGACCACATATGTGTGTCTCGGTAACCAAACTCGGTACGATTATTGTGGTTGGTCCACAAAAGCAAAACGCTGAAAATAATTGAAGTCGAACTAAAATTACGCCCACTTTTTATATAACGGTAAATTTCAGAAATGCTTGAAACTTGGATATTTCAAAATTTAAGGATGCTAGTTTACACAAAATTGATACTAACAACAATTTCTAAAAAGAGATAACATTATTATGGAATTTTAGAAAATAGGCGTGATACCGTCCACATATAACTACAATATAAATTTTGCTTTGCTGCATTTATGCTTAAGTGCACATTTAAGATACCTACCCCAAAATTCCCCTCAGCGTCATTATTGAGAAGGATGGGCAGCTAAGCAAAATATGCTGTATATAGATTTGTGGACGATGTATGAAATAGGAGTAGAATCACCGCTGCTTACCATGTAGCGGTATTTTTCGGAATGGTTAAAAAAACCATACTTAATACTTGCGCTGGTTATCTATTGTTCGGCTCCACACAAATTTAGACTTTTTTCTTGTAGGTTATATTTAATAAAATTAAAAAAGCTTAATTTTTTAAAAACTCTTCGTTGTTGAAGGTTACAGCTATTAGTGGAAAATACAGTTTTACAGTTAAAAAAAAAAATCTTACAGCACTGGTAATGGCCACCATTGTCTATAAGTGATCGACTCTACGAGTACATAATAATTTCAGACAATCTTTTTTTGTAGTACACATTTATTACATATGTTGATAATGCATATCTATTTTGCACTTGCCATTTTTCAAGAGCTCACTGGAAATGGATAAGATAAGAGAGCTTAAGTGATGTCAAAAATATGTTGTTTCCTTATAATAAGTTTTTGTTATGACTTTTGTTTGGGGGGAATTTAAGATATGCACTTTCGTTCCACTCATTATTTCCTAGAAAAATTTTCGCATTCACCAGTTTTGGTTTTTGGTAAGAAATCAGATTTGGTTTTTAGAAATATATGGGGGGAAATAAAAGTTGTCTAAGCTGCAATCTGATAATGATGGGTTATTACTATTGTTAAGGATAGTGCATTACGACCATATTGTAATATATTGGTTATATTGGTAATAAAATACCAAGTTAAGATAAATCTTTGTCCAGGAATTCGTTTTAGCATTACTCACCTATAGTTAGTTAAACAATCTCATGGAATCTAACGGGATGGACTAGGGTAACAAAGCCCTAAGAACGTTTTGATAAGGTAGCTTACTTTTAAAAGCTACAACCATCAAAGTTGCATTTTTCCACATTCTTTGCATACTAACTATTCATAATTAGCCAAAGCACCACAACTATGACACACGGCTGTTCGCGAAAATAGTACCTAATCCGAAGTGAAGCATTCGTAGATATGACATTTTATCTATAAGCATACATATGTATTTACATATTTGAAATTTATTTTGGAAATGAAATTGATGAAGAAGTTTTTGAATATTGGAGTGAGCATGTTGCGAAAAATTAACCGCTTACATCATCATCTTCAACTCTTAAGACAACAGTTACCAACCGAATCAGACAAACAAATCGAATGGTTTCAACAGCTTGCGAAGCTTGCTTGGAAATCAATCCCCCGACCCAGTACCAGTTGAAATGAAATTTGTTGGTAGAATAGTACGAAGAGCAAAATGAACGTAGAGAAGAGGAAGTAATGGAGTCCGTGTTAAATATATATTATTAATGATTACAGTATACCTGGCTATTTTTTCAGTAGGGTAAGGTAAGCGAAGTAAAGTTTTTATTTTGTTGTGAAATTAATTTTTAGTATTTTCCTATATAAAGATATGGTTCAAATTTTTATGTTGCCCATGAATAGCATAGGAAATCTACTAATCCTCAAAGTAGCCCAAATGTAAAAAGCGAGGCAATGTTCTTTCTAAATACTTGACATATTCTGCAGACCTGTATAAACTTCGGCGAAATTCTTCGGATGTCATTAGCAATTCAGCGTCGATGTTATCTGCGTTGGTAAACCACATCGGCAAAAAAGTGGAAATGAGAAAAAAGTCTGAAACGCAAAGGGAGAATATCTATGAGTTGAAAGCAATCAAACGCCTGTACATAAGTATGTGCATATTTACTTATCAATTAGTGATTTGATTGCCAGCTAATTGGCTCTTAAGTGCTCTTCATTAGATACTTACCAAAGTACTTGTGACGCACGAACTGCTCACGAATCTCTGTTAGTTTTGGTAGTTGGCCTTTGAAACCTATTTTCTTTAAAGTATCCGTAAAAATTGTGAAATAATAGTACACCAAAGCAGGAAATTCCAAGCGGAGGGTTTCGTCCAACATAAGGTACTTCGAGTATATCAAATCATTCACAATAGGACCAACATACCCGACTTGATAGTCGAGTAGCATAACGTCCTCCAATTCACCAGTTCCTTTATTGTGTTTGAACATCATGTTTCGTGAATGAAAGTCACCATGGCAAAGCACATAGGGCGCACCCACTTGGGGCGATTCACGGTACTCAGCAAAGCCAGCGCGACATTTCTCAAGCAGGATTGGTTCTAAATTCTCAAAGTAAGGCAAATAGTCGCGCAGAGAAGGTGTTTTCTTCAACATGTGCACAAAATGTTTTATACCACCAGTCATGAGATCCTCTTTCGCTATGGACATGTTCAACATACCGTGTTGAAATTTATCAAAATAATGCGGCTCCTGCAGGAAGATTCGTAACCAAATATTGAACGTACCAGAAAAAAATTTCGCCGTACACCGCTGAGTCTAAAGTATTTTAACAAGGCATTTTTTTACATTTTTCGTCATATATTCGGCATTACGGGCCTTTCTTTGTTCCAAAATTCATTGACCAAAATTATACCGTTGTAGTAATTATCCACTATATCTCGATTTCCACCACCTTAATGTAAGCGAATTAAAGCTCGCCAAAAATTATTAAACTTTTGCTAAGAAGTATTTTAGTAATTCCAGTAGAACTATTTAAAGAAAAAATTTTTATTGCTGAATGTAGGTGTCACAGAAACAAATGAGAAAAGGCGACCACTAAGTTCGGCCAAAGACACAATAAAACTTTTATTCGAAATTACTTTGCAAAAATACTTCAGAGTCAGGGATGTACGCCGCCCTTTTTTCGTAAAGTGGTACGGTCTAATACACATCCATACATATTCAATTTTTCTTAACTAACCTCCAAATTGATTTTGTAGCTTATGGCATGCCATTTCGCCAATTTGGCATAGGCTGCCTTTACTTCTTCTTCGGTTAATGGGCGATCTCGCACCACCTCATAGCCAGCGGGGACAAGGTCTCCGAAAACAATCACTTGCTTCGGCTCTAAAGAGTAATATAAGCAACTGCAAGTGTAAATATCAAACCAAACTTAATCAAAAAAATAATAATTTAATTTGCTCACCAAAATGTACTTACGGCGCTTTGAGCTTAGTATCATCGCCGATGTCGCGCAAAACTTTCTCGAATCGTGGCATCACTTCTGTGTACATGGCAATCTCCTTTTCAAAAATATCTGTTTTGCCCAGCATTTCTTTCTTGTGGCCCTCCATTTCGGGCATTGTCTTCAAGATCACTGACCTCGCCTTGCCCACGCCATCCAATTCGTATTCCAGCTGTGCGCGAAACATTACACTCGCATAGTGATCGCCTTTCATGGAAGCTGGCGAAATTTTTACGTCTTTAATTTTCACTTCGCTTGTTTTCCCCTCACAGTTCGACAAGACTTTTAGAAAAAAATCGTCGTTTATCCATTCCGGCGCATGCAGTTCGTCGGCATTGAATGTTTCTTTGTCCGCTACTTCGGTGGGCATTTCTGCATTCGTTTTTATTTCTATCTGAGTTCTGTATATTCTCAACGAATGCGCTAATGTAACTAATCAAAAATTGTCTCACTGTTGTAAGCACCAGAATTGTTACGAACAAACTAAAAGTTTTCACCAGCGTTTCACATTTGGTGCTCTGTATCGCTTGCATGAATGATTTGTGTAAAGCTTTTGAATATCTAAGCACAGATAAGTTTCAATGCAATTAATTACATTCATATATTATATTTATACATGCATGTACTATACTATGTATGTAAATATGTACGCATAAGTATCGTACAATAAAAAATTGCCGGCAATTTAATTTGATTACATAACGGGTGATTTTTTTGAGGTTAGGATTTTCATGCATTAGTATTTGACAGATCACGTGGGATTTCAGACATGGTGTCAANTGACACCATGTCTGAAATCCCACGTGATCTGTCAAATACTAATGCATGAAAATCCTAACCTCAAAAAAATCACCCGTTATATTATTCCTTTTCTCTGTTCCCCCTTAGCTTTATGTGTTCACTAGGGTGGTCGAAAATTGCATGTTGGAAACAGTGAATTCAGAATTTAATGCTCTCACCCCCTAGGCTTTTTTCTATACCGAAAAAGCGCTCAAAGCGCTCCTAGGAGGTAAGAGCATTAAAATTCTGACTTTATTTATGTATTTTAGACCACCCTAAGGTTCACTAGTATTGGAATGAAGTTAAGGAAGGTGATGCTAATGTATCTTATTTAATCTTTACAAAAAGAAAGCTACTTATTTATGTAAAACTGAAAATTGTATTAATTTAATGAATTACATCTATGAACATGTACATTAGACTGGGTCGGTCCCCATACAAAAAAAAAA